GGTGGGCTACTAACTGCCAGAGAGCCTCTTTCTGAATAAAGCCCTCATAAAGGTACAGCGAGGGTTAAGGCCTACTTCATTTGTTTTAAGCAGATGGCATTTAAACATTTTCCATCCCTTTTTAAATGCTATAATCTTCAGTGATTTTCTAGACCGTGTGGACCCGCTGGTTGTTGGGAAAATGCAGTAATTACATGCAGTTAAAAAAAATCTTAGATTTTTCTCCCCAGGGCTAGGAGATTTGGAGAGAGTACAATGAGGATATGTGAGGGAGAAATAAAGACGTCAAAGTGACCAATTCTCCAGGTGGCTTCAAAAAACGGGTAACTCCTGCCCTCCCTCACCAGATCGAACTTTCAGGTTGTCTGCCGCTTGTGAGGTCCTGAGCTGCAGGAGCCAGGGAGTGTGTGACTCTCGCCATGCCGTGTGACCCTCCTCCAGACACCTTCTCCTTCCACCCTTGTTTACAGAGAGAAGAGTAAAAGGCCTTCGGTGCAGCCCTTCCCATCTGCCATCTTTGCTCCAAAAGCGCCAGCCCCTGAAGCACCGTCACCGGAAGTCGTGTCTGCGGTGCTTTCACGGCTGCCGCCCCATGGGTTCCCGCCCGGAAGTGCCGACCTGCCAGGGGAGGCAGAGCGGAAGTTCCGGAAAAAGTGGAGGCGGTCGCAGCGGAGGCATCGACTCCGGCAATTCAGCGACTTGTGGGTCCGCCTGGAGGAGAGGAGGTGAGGCGGGTGGGCCGGCCGGGCGGGCATCTGTCCTTACCCTGGGAGGAGGGTGATGAGCAGACGCAGGCATGCCCTTCGCATTGGTAGGGATGGGAGCCCCGCTCATGGAGCAGCCCTTCCCTTTCCTCGCGGCCGCAGGCACCTGTTGTCTGTCCATTGTGATAGAGGTGACTCCAGATTTAAGGTAGTTGCTTAAAGCAGGGCAAAAGTAACATGTTTATGCTTATTAAAGAGCAAATGTAGGGGTATGTATGAATGGGTCTGTTAAAAATAGAATGAGGCTGGAATACAGGTTGCAAGGGACTTGATTTTCCAGCCCTGTCTCCACCACAGATCTGGGGGAGTTTGATAGCTTTGCAGAGCTGGAAGCCACTCTGTAGGAATGAGTGTGTTTAACCCCCACATGGTAGGGGAGGGATGGTGACCACAAAATGTACACACTCAGAGATGGCTGGGGGTGGTGGTGGATCAGAGATGGATAGCGGAGCCTGGGTCTGCGGGGTGCAAGGCCATTGGAAGAACATCAGAGAGCATGGGATCCAGGATCCAATTAAATTCAACCTAGACTTACTGAGTTTCTGCTGTTGTGTTGGGTGCTGTGTCTGTGGGGTGAACCAGACAGACATTGGCTCTGCCTTCATGGAGCTCACAGTCTGGTGAGGAAGCCAGATTTTGAGAAGATAATTTGCGAGAAAAGTGTAGGGTGCTGTGGGAATAGTTTGTGTATTATAGGTGACTACTTAGGGTCAGGGGATTAGGAAAAGCCTCCCTGAGGAAGAGTCGTTTTGGCTGATACTAAGCAGAAGCCAGGCAAAGTCAAGCCTGTCGAATAGAGCTGAGTCTGGCTCACTAGATGCAGGGATCCAGTGCCTGTATAGATGCTTAATAAATGTCAAGTGAATGAGTGAAGGAACAACAGGATAGGGAAGGGGAGGAGTTGGGGGCAGGGGAAGCAGTGATTTTGCCTGGTGTGGAGGGAACGATAATGTTAAACCAAGACAAAGTAATTCTGGCTGGAGCCTGGGAAGTGAAGGGGTAGTGGGGTGAGATGGGTCCAGTTGTAAACAAGGAGGGAAGTAGGGAGCCATTGCATGGTTTGAAGCAGGTGACTGATGTGCTGTGTGACTTGCATTTTTAAATGGACAGAGGGCTGGCAGCCAACTAGGACCCGGAGAACAGGGACAGCTCCTCTTAGTGTCCATGTCCCAGGGTGGCTCCTTAACCATCCTTCATGGATGGAGGAATAAATTGGCCTGTTTAGTCCTTTTTCATCCTGGGCCGTTTCGTTTCAAGGTAGTCATGGGTTGAGCTGAAAGAACCAGGTGAGCCTGAGGTCATGGGCCCCTAAGCTCCTACTGTCTTGACCTGGCATGCCTGCATGGGGTTCACACCAGGCCTGAAGTGGGGCAGGTGAGAGAGGCTGAGACCCAAGGAGGAATCCTCGTGACCTGGCTGTGCCTCTGTAGCGGCCAGTGAGGAGGGTCTCTGCCTAATATTGCCCAGAGGCTAATAATGATTAGCAAACTCTGAATTTAGCCTTCTTAAACTAAGACTTTTAATAATCCTTGAACCAAAAACCAAACATCCGGTGGATAGTTGGCCAGTCTGCTAGTCTTAATATCCTCTATCATTTGGTTTTCTGCTAGCAGTGGCCAAAGACACCAAGGATACAGGATGCCTGTTAACATGCTAATGCCCATTCCTGTCTTTAAAGAGGGGAGATGAAAGCTGTGTGGGCATTTGGGGGACTTGGAGTGTGCAGTGGCTTTCACTGTGCCCTGACACTCTTTCTCTTTGTCCCAGTGCTGTAGTCCCACACCTCCAGGTCCCTGTCCTGGACAGGCACATCTCCACTGAGCTGAGGCTCCCTCGCCATGGGAATTCCCACCACAGCCAGATGGTGGCCAGCAGTGCCTGCCTGTGTCTCTGGACTCCTGTGTTCTGGGTGCTGGTGCTGGCTTTCCAAACAGAGACACCCCTCCTATAATGACTGGAGGAGCCACCAGGCCAACACTGAGCCCTCGGACTGGAAGGATGGCCTTTCCTGTACTCCACACTTTGGTCTGGCCTTGGTAGGCCCAACCCTACCAAGAGACTTCTCCCAAAGAAGGAACCCACTGTAGATTCTCATCATTCCAAGAAATGTCTTTGGGTTATTCAACAATGTTGGGGGGAGGTGTACAGTCTTGTAACATAATGAGTTGTATGAAAATAATAAATTGTAAATGAGTTGTATGAAAATAAATACTGTTTTGCGTGGCCTTTTCTTTTCTTCATGATTTGTGTATATCAGGCAGACAACTCTTTTGCTCACACCCTCTGAATACTGTCACTGCTTCCTGCTGGGTCCTACACCACTCAGCTACACTTCTGGATCCCTTTGGATGCTGGCTTTGGATCCTGACCCTTTTCTCCTTCCTGCTGCTCTTCTCCCTGTTTGCTCCTCCGTCTGGGTGCAGGGGTCAGTAGGTCATGGAACTTGTGTTCTTCAACTGTCTATTCAGGGGCTGGTGAACAGGGTGCTCCCTGTGCTCTGACAAATGCTTTCCTTGTGTACAGTAAATGAACGTGTCTCCCTGACATCTGGGGCGTAGGAGGATGGCTATGCTTTGTCAGAGGTGCTGTGCAAGAAAAGTGGTTTTCAAACTCTACCTTCCTCCTGTCTTGTTATTATTTATATGTTTATTGGCAATATCTTTTCCAAACAAAACCTTGTAGGGAATCTCTATATAAAATGAGTAAGACTAGAACTGCCCTGGTTGAGTCTGAACTGGGAACTTGTAGCCCTGCCCAGCAGATCTCCCTTCCCCTAACCACTATGGTTCCCTACCAGGGTCTCTCACCTGTGGCAAGGTTGCCTTATGGTCCTCCTTCCCGGGCTTCTGAGTAGCTCATAAAGCTCCAGAAGGTCTGTCCAGGACTTGGGTGGGACCAATAAAAAGTAGTTGTGTTTGTTCCTAATCTGGTTTAGAGTAAGATTGATTTCCTGAGTTTGTAGCTCTGGCTTCCTTTCCAGAGGCTTTCTTGTGAGTTCATTCTTAGTCAGTTCCAGGGCCCAGAAGATCTTTGTGGCCTTACTGAAAGGTGGTGTGATGGCAATCAGGAGTCATGTCCATTGCCTTTGCTCCATTCTGTACCCACTGTATTGCAGAGGTAGCTGGACTAAAATCTTCCCCAGATTCTCTTGCTGCTATAATTTAGATCCTCCTAATTGGAGAATTGGAATTTGGAAGGTAGAAGGGGGCAGAGGGTCTTTTACTTCAGCAGTGGTGGCAGTTATGTGCAGGCCCTGGCAGACACTTTGTGCAGTGGCCAGGCTGTGCATCCCACTCTAGTCACTATCTTCCCGGATGGAAGGAGCCGTGAGGTCAGCACAGTTTCCTGCTGATTTCTGACCCTGAATTACAGCTGCTGTGGTGCCTAATATCAACCCTCTGACTTCTGCAGCTGCAGCCATTCCAGTGATTTGTTAGCACCTATTTCTGGTTGAAACACCAACAGAAGGTTCTGATTTATGCACTAAACTCTGACTGATAGAAGTGGTGCTCCTGCTCGTGACGAGTCTGTTCTTAACTTTGAAGGGTAAAATGGGAGGGTAGGACCACTGTGGCTAACCCAGTTCCTCCAGCTCTTTGTAAGGGGGTGGTGTGGCTTTCTTCAGAGGCTCACATCTACTGGGTGGTTCCCTGGTTTCTTGGGTCATGGTATGGCTGAGGAAGCAAACAGACCATTGTTGGCAGGGCTGACACAAAATGGGTTGTCACAGTGGCTGCTCCATTTTAGCACTGGCCCACCAACCTCTGCTTTTGAGGTGCCAGGGGCTCAAGTGCACCTGGCTGGGACTTGCTAGTTTTCACACAGGTTCATCCTAAAGTGGAAGGGGAAAATTCCTCTGTACTTGGGCAGGACTGATTCATACTTTTGTGAAAGCACAGGCTCTTCCAAGGGTTGTAATGTAGCTCCATAGAGAGGGGAACTGGCACCGTGGGCCAAGATCATCTTATCCTGCTCATCTACTACCAGCTATGATCCCTGCATCAACCTTCCATGTGTTGGGCTCTGAGAGCCTTAATCTGGTCTAGGCACAGAAGCACCTGGGGCTGTGCGACAGAAATGCACACCAGGACTTTCATGCTAGTGTGAAGAGGAAGGGAGGGAGCCTGTGTGGTAGGGAATGCTGTGGCCTGGGAAGCAAGCTGCCTCTCACGTGGCATTGGGGAGCGGGTTTAATAGGTGGCAGATGAGCCCACTGCTTCCACGTCACAGCTTGGATAACCAACAAAGAACTCAAACACTTTATTTTAGATCATAAGAGAAATAAAAGCCACACTTTCTACCCTTAAGTCAAATCGGAAATAACATTTTTTTGTATAAAGTATTTAGACCTTTCCCCCTCATCAGGAAAGATCTCTGGACTGAGGTGGCACCATTTCAATTTCACTCATTCAGCTGGCACAGCAAAGCTGACCCCTTGGCAATCCAGTAGTCTTTGGACCGCTTGGAAGGTAAGAGGACGGTCACCACGAAGTTGGTCGAATGGCCTAATTAAAAATACAGGAAAAATGAGAGTCGTTACTTAAAGAATAACCTCCTGATACAAAGAGACAAGATACTGAGAGTCAAGACCCTGGGTTCCAGACCTGACTGCTTCTAAAGATGTTGGGCAAATAATCCTATGGGTTTCAGTTTTATGCTCTATAAATGAAGATTATAGAACAAATGATCTTTTAGGACCTGTCCAGCTTAGATTTTGTGTGACTTCATGAGCTATGTTTCAAGATCATTGCAGTCTGAATCCAGGAGCACAGGACTGAGCTTTCAATGGGATTTGGGCATGCAGTGGCAGGTTGAGAATGCCTGTATCTCTCTCTCCTTACCTTTGTGTGCCATTCCCTGCATGGTGCCTTGGCAGGTGCTTGAGTGACAGGTCTCCCAGTGCCACCAGCTCGAGCTCAAGGGCCAGCAAGCCTAGACAGTCTTCATATGGACTTACTGGTTTTATGGGGCTCAAGAATTTAGCTCAAGGTCCTGAGCACCCCCTTTGCAACTTCCTCTTCCCTTCTTCCAGGCTTTCCTGGGGCAGGAACAAGGCACACACTTCCCTCAGGCCATCTGTGCCTGGGACTGGAGGGCCTCCTCTCAGTCTGAAGAAGCACTGGGAGGCCTCCTCTTGGTCTGGAGAAGCACTTAGGGCATGACCAAACCTTTGGAGCCATTGTGTCTGATTTAAGCAGAATGAAGTCACTCTTGGCCAGAAAGGAATTCAGCTGCCATGCAAAAATTTCAATCTCTACATCTCACCACTGCTTTCTAATGGGTTCACTGTACAGTGCTGAGAGGACTCAGCAGTCAGATAGTAACTGTCTCCATGAGGGTGGATGATTGGGATTGGTGTGTGTGTGGCCCCACATCACATGTGTACTTGAACTGAGGTCTGGAAGGCTGACATAAGAGGCCCTGTGCCATCATGGCTGCAAAACCAGGTGGTTAAAGCGAACACACAGATGCTGTGTCAGTGAAACGAGGTAAAAAGGAACTAAAGATGGGCTTCTTTACTGGGAAGGGAAATAGGAAGATTAGAAGGAGGTTGTGGATAGCTGTGTGTGTGTATAAAAAGGGTGTGGAAATAGACTGTTTCTGACCCAAAAGGATCAGTGGTGCGTGATGTATGGTATTTGAGAACCTGGCAGGCAGGGATGAATAAGCCTTAGAACTGTTAAGCCAGGTCAAAGGAAAGCTTGCTGCCTCCAGATGGGAGCAGAGCCTGTCACTGGTCCTAGCTGCACTAGCTCCCAGGTTGGTGGCGGCTGCACCTCAGTGAAGGAACATGTTTTGCACCTGAGAATAATTCAAGCTTCCACTAACCTGTAATGATGTAAAAACTGCCTGCTTTCATCATTCCTTACACGGATACAGCTAATGAGGGACTTGGACATACATTAGTTTCATTAGTTTTCAAAACAGTATCATTCTGTAACTTAACTTAAAATTTGTTGAGAAGCTTCAATGCACTGATCTATGATCCAGACTTACTTTTAATGTTTTATCATATTTGTTTTTTATTTTAATGGAAACGTCAAAACATTATAGACACAATCAAAGTTCCTTTTGGCCCCCCTCCTCATCCTACCTACTTCCCCACACTCCTCCCAGATTATTTTGAGGCAAATACTAGACAACATGTAATTTTATCTGAAAATATTTTAGTATGTATCTCTACATCATGGCTCCTAAAACACATAAACACAGTACCACTATCATACCTAAAATATCAATAATTCCTTAATAAAAAATATGTAGTCACTGTTCAAATTTTCCTTATTAGTGTGTAGGTACATGTGTATATATACATATATATTTTATAGTATATATACACATTTTATATTTTATGGTGTGTGTATTATATATATATATTCAGCAGTTTGTTTGCTTCAGGATTCAAATAACGTCCATACCTTGCAACAGTGATGTGTATATTAAATGTTTTTTAATTACGTCTCTCTGCTTCTTTTGCTATCCCTTGCAATGTATTTGTTGAAGCAACCAGGCTGTTATCCAGTTTCCCAGAATCTGAATTCTGCTGATGGCATCCCTGTAGTGATTTTAAACACATTCCTCTATCCTGGTAAAGGAGTGTTTAGATCTAGTGGCGTGATCACATTGAAGACTGAGTTTTTTGGCAAGAACACTTCATAGGTGGTGTGTACTTTCATGAAGAAACACCTTATGACTAATTGTCTTTCTTTTTTTGGATGTTAGCAACCATTGATGATTATTACTAAGAACTATTACTTCGTTAGGGGTAAATCATTTTAAAATTCAGTGATGATTATGTATATAGAATCTATGTGTGATTTAATTTTTGTATATGGTATAAGATAAAGATCTAAATTTAGTATAAGCAGTTGTCCCAACACCATTTGTGGAATAATTTCTTCATTCTTGACCAATAATAAATGGTGCTGCTATTATGTCAAGTTCCCACATATGCTCAGTGTGTTTCTGGGCTCTCTGTCGTGCATTTCATCTGTTTGTGGAGTCTTGTGCCAGTGCAACACCATTTCAATTATTACATTTTGATATTTGTTAAATTTAGACCCTCGTACTTTATTATCTTTAAAAACATATTTTTGTTATTCCTTGTTTTTGTTTCATATGAGTATCAGAATAATAAATTCCATCAAAAATTCTATTTATTTTATTGAGAATACTTTAAATTCAGAGATTAATTTTGGGGAATTGGAATCTTTGCAATATTAAATCTTTCCATTTATGAACATGATATAGCGCTTCCATTTATTCAAGTCCTACTTTATGCTTTCAGTAACATTTTATAAAGTTCTCCAAAAGGATCTTGCCTCTCTTTGTCAGGTTTAGTCCTAGCCTCCTGATCTTCTTTTCTTTTTCTTTTTCTTTTTGGGATGGGATCACATTGATTATTTTTTGAACGTTTTCTCTACTAGTCTCTTTCTCTTGTTCTTCTGAGACTTCAATGACATAAATGTCAGATCTTTTGCTTTTGCCATACAGGTTCCTGAAGCTCTGTTCATTTCTTTCCATCTTATTTTTTTTTTTCTATGTTTTTCAGATTGGGTAATTTCAATTGATCTGTCTTCAAATTCACTGACTTTCCTCTGTCATTTCTATTTTGCTATTGATCCCACAGTGAATTGTATATTTCAGATATTGCATTTTTTAGTCCTAAAATTTCCATTTACAGTTTGTATTTCTTTGCTAAGCACCTCTCTCTTTACATTAATTTCTAATGTGTTCACCGTTACATCATGGAACATAGTTATAATAGCTGCTTTAAAATATTTATTTAATGAGGCCCGAGATCCATGGAGACCATGCGCCCCATGGTGCCAGTGTGTGACCGAGCAGGTAGGCCTCACCACCGCTGGTCTCTATCCCCAGCCTAGCCGAGTGTGGAGAGGCCCAAGACTCAAGGTGCCAGTGGGCAACTGAGCAGACACTGAGGCAGCTGTGCCAAATTGGCATCCCCAGCAGCATCCTAGCCAGAGAATAGTGTCAAACCAGTGGACCATGAAATCCCTTGCCACAATGACTAAACATCAAAGAAAAGATACCAGAAATATGAAAAAATCAAGAAAGTACAGCAGCAAAGGGCAATAACTCTCAAGCTCTAGATAGTCTAGAACAAGAAGCCCTTGAAATGTCTGGCAAGGAATTTTGAGTGATAATTCTAAGGAAACTAAATGAGATACCAGAAAACTCAGCTAGACAACACGATGAAATGAGGAAAAGTATACAGGACCTGAAGGAAGAAATGTACAAGGAAAACAATGCCCTGAAAAAGAATGTAGCAGAGCTTGCCGAGCTGAAGAATTCATTCAATGAAATTAAAAACACAACAGAGAGTTTAACCAGCAGGCTAGCAGAAGCAGAAGAGAGAACTTCTGACCTTGAAGATGGGCTGTTTGAAATAACAGATGCAGACAAAAAGAAAAAAAAAGAAAAACATTAAAAACATTGAAGAAAATCTAAGAGAGATATTAGACAAACTTAAGCGGTCAAATATCCGAATCATGGGTATTCCAGAAGGGGAGGAAAAAGGAGATTGCATTGAAAACATATTACACAAAATAGTGGCAGAAAACTTCCCAGGTATAGGGAAAGACACAGATCTTCAGATTCAGGAAGCTCAAAGATCCCCAACTGTATTCAACCCAAAAAGGTCTTCTCCAAGACATGTTATAGTCAAATTGGCAAAACTCAAAGACAAAGAGAGAATCTTAAAAGTTGCAAGAGAGAAGTGTCAAATCACCTGTAAGGGAGCCCCAATCAGACTAATATCAGACTTTTCATCACAAACCCTAAAAGCTAGAAAGGAATGGGATGATATATTCAAAACATTAAAAGACAGAGATTGTCAGCCAAGAATACTCTACCCCACAAGGCTATCCTTCCAAAATGAATGGCAAATAGTATATTTCTCAGACAAACAAAAATTGTGGGAGTTCACTACCACACGACCACCCTTACAAAAAATTCTCAAGGGAGTACTGGGTTTGGTACCTGAAAAATAACTACCACTGCCATAAAAACTCAAGAAAAATCAAAATTCACTAGTAAAATAAAAATGGCAACAATGAAGAGAGAAAAAAAGTTTATCTACAACCCAAGGAACCAACAAATACAGAAGACAAACAGTAAATCAGAAAAAAAGGAACAAAAGACACTTAAGATAGCCAAACAAAAATCAGTAAAATTCTAGGAGTAAATCAACATTTTTCAATAACAACTCTTAATGTAAAAGGATTAAATTCCCCAATCAAAAGACACAGACTGGCTGACTAAATTAAAAAGGAGGACCCAAGTATATGCGGCCTTCAAGAGACCCACTCACCCATAAAGACTCACATAGACTAAGAGTGAAAGGATGCAAAAAGATTTACCATGCAAACAGAAATGAAAAATGAGCTGGAGTAGCTATTCTTATATCTGATAAAATAGACTTTAAACTAAAAACCATAAAAAGAGATAATGAGGGCCACTACATAATGATAAAAGGATTCAC